CTCAGGAACTGAGACTACGTCTCATTCATCTTGATGTCCTGAAAACAGCGTGGTTCTGTTCCATTTGATGGTGACAGAGTGTGGAGGACATTCCCCCAGACTTCAGCGCAGCACCCGGCACATACCAGGAACGCGAACAGAGTATATGCGATGAATAAGGGAATGGGGAAAAAGTTGCTTTGAGATAATTGTCTTCTGACAAACTTTTTTTCCCTAAGGTACTGTCATTTTTATTTTACAGATGAAGAAAGCTTAACAAACACAAGTCATCTGATTCTGAGAACCTTTTACATGGAGGCTAATATGGTGAACCTCTGGAGAGAAAAAGGCATATTAAATTTTTACCATGTCAAGTATGCTAATACAACAATATTTTGCGTAGTACTGCAGTGGCTGTGGTTTTCAAGGGGAAATTAAAGTCTGGGATTTGTCTACCACCAGAAAGTGGAACTCTCTAGTGTAGCCTCTTTCATATTTTCATGTTCAGACAAAAAGTTGTTCTCCTCCTCTACCCTAGCTATGAAATTAGGCCAGGTCTCAGTATAAGCATCACTTCCTCTGGGAAGCCTTCCCTGACCACCTCCATCATAGGTTAAGAGCTGCTCCCAAGTGTCCCCATGTGGACCTGTCTCTGCCATTACAACCCTCTGCAGTATGATCATCTGCCCACTCATTTACATCCACCCTGGGTGGAACCTCTGCCCAGGGCACGTGCTACATCTTGTTCTATTGAATCCCCAGTGCCTAGCACAGTGTCTTGCACACAGTAGGTGCTCAATATATGTTTGTTGAATAAAGGAAAGCTTTGCCTTTTTACAAATCTCCTCTGTTCAAGAGTTGTTACAGGCCAGGCATTTTGGCTCACGCCTATAATCCTAGCACTCTGGGAGGCTAAGGCGGGAGATCGCTCAAGGTCAGGAGTTCGAGACCAGCCTGAGCAAGATTGAGACCCTGTCTCTACTAAAAATAGAAAGGAATTAATTGGCCAACTAAAAATATATAGAAAAAATTATCTACGCATGGTGGCCCATGCCTGTAGTCCCAGCTACTTGGGAGGCTGAGGCAGAAGGATTGCTTGAGCCCAGGAGTTTGAGGTTGCTGTGAGCTAGGCTGACACCATGGCACTCTAGCCAGGGTAACAGAGTGAGACTCTGTCTCAAAAAAAAAAAAAAAAAAGGGTTGTTACATCACTGGGGCTGCTGGTCTGATGGCCCTTCCTGAACCTATCCCAGGCCCCCAGACCCTGCTACCCACCCCCCTCCAGCCAGTGACAGGAGAACACATGGAGACTGGCCTGTCTCCTCCATCTGTTACTGTCCTTAGAGACACTGTGCACCCTGTAGTGTGTTGGAGCCAGTGACCCATTTGCCCTTCCTGCTCAGCCAATCAGAACAATAATAATCACCACATCTGTTGAATGCTTACAAAAATGCCAGCGATCTATATCAATTATTTGGAATCCTGATAAGAATTCCACAAAGGAAATATTACTACTCTAAAATATAAGAAAACTGACCCAAAGAGGGCTCAATAACTTGCCAGAGGTCATACAGTAACAACGTGGTGGATGGATGAATGAATAAATGAATGACCAAATATGTGCCTTGATAACTCTGGTGCTTTGCTATTCTTCTCTTTTTTTCTCCCATAAACACTGGGGATGGCTCCATGGAACTAAAGGAGCCAAGCGTCTCCTGAGCCAAGAGAGCAGGGAGTAGGGAAGAGTTGACCGCAGTAGAAATCAGCTCTGAGCAACACCAAGTTATTCAGTAACCTCAGATACTTGGTCCCCATGGACAACCTGACCAGATTGGGCCAGGGCAGGCAGCAGACACTGGTTCCCCTTGGCTACCCTTCAGGCACTCAGCTGGTCACAGCTGGAAACTGGAGATGGAAGGGCAAAGATTGGGCAAACCTTAGGACAGGCAGAATGAGAGCTGATGATGGAGTCGGGGTGGGGGGGCCCTCAGAGGAGGTCTGGAGTGGAGGGAGGAGGGAGAGATGAAGCCCCACCCCACCATTCCATCAGAGATTCCAGGACCAGAAGAGGCAGAAGGGAGGGCCAAGGGCCCTGACATCACTTGCCAGTCCAAAGGAAAACCATGGACTGAGCCTCTCCATGGTGCCTGGTTGTGGGAAATTTAAGCCTTTGCTACTTTACTCCCAAATTCATCACTAGGATTTAAAGATTTTAGGCCCATAACTCATGTATGTCAACTGCTCAGAAAATGTTTTCCTCTAACATTTCTGCTATTCTTTATTGCTTTCATTTGTGGGGAGCCAGGGGAGCCTTTCCCTCTCAGGTGGCAGCCTGGCAGGTGAGCCCTCGAAGGGGAAGGTGGGGGGGAGGCATGGGGGGGGTACCCTCAGAAGGGGAGGGCTGTCAGGGTCCTGCTCTGTGCAGGACCAGGGCTGATATCGGCGGGTACCCACTGGTTGTTAAAATATCAAGATCATACCATATAGCTTGGTAAATAGCTTTGTCCAAAGGTCTCTAATTGTACTCTCCAGAGAGTGGCCCAACTCTCCTGGCCCTTCTAGGAGGTGCTCCTCTAGACCTCTCCACAGTCCAGCAACTAGAGTTAACACCTGATAGGCAGGGAACCTACAGGACGCAGCCCTGTAACGACCTTGACTAGAACCTATGGTTGTAGCCCCAGGGTTGGCACTAAAAGAATATTTGCTGAACAAATGAATGTGCCAACAGAGGAGAGGGACTATCAGAGACCCAGAGGAATTCAGAGGGGGACAAAGGGGGAGGAGGGGAACAAAGGGGGAACTAAGGGGGACAAAGATAGAGGAGGCTGGCATCAGGGAGGCAGTTCCCAGAAGACCCTAGGAAGGGCCAGCTCACTCTTCCTCGTTCTCCCTGGTTCTGCAGCTCTTGATGGCTTTTTCCCTTCCAGGCCTGCCCAGTCCCAGACAGGACTCAGGAAGCATCTCTAAGACTATACTTTCAGGGATCATTTCTATAGTCCATTACTAGAGAAGTTTCTCTGAATGTGTAGAGTACCAGGAAGCATCTCTAGGGCCAAAGGCTGGGCCTGGGTAGAGCTCCCAGATGCTGAATCATTTTCCAAAGGCTGCTGACCAGACATCCCCCCTTGTCGCAGGAGGGGCCAGAGAACAACATTCCTGCTGACCAAGTAAGGATGGAGAGCCTCTGGGAGAGGGGCTACCTAGGGCCCGACAGCCTGCTCAGCTGGGAGCAGTGCTACCGGAGGCTGCTACCTACAGGCTGACCCCTTCTCCCCTCTGTGCCCCGGCTGGGTGCTAAAGTGAGGAAAACTGGATATCTAGAATCCAACTGTCCCCCAGAGTCCATGCTGGGCTGGAGGCTCAAGCCATGAGGGGAGGCGGGGAGGAGGTGAACTGGGGAAGGAGCAGAATGTGAGAAAAGGAGGAGGGTTAGGGACTCCACTGTTGACCCCAACCCTGCCCATTCCTGGGAAGGGGCAAGCCCGGTTCCTAGGAGGAGCCCTACCCTGCGTCTGTTCTGAGGAGTGATTGGCCCTTATGAACTGAGACCCTGTCTCCTGGGAGTGGCAGTTTTTCCTTCAGGCCAAGGTTTGGGACATCATCATTGCAAACACTCTTGGCTCCCTCCCACACAGCAGCCCCCTCAGACAGGTGGGCCTGGGGTGGGCAGCAGTGTAGACAGAGGCCTCCCCTCCCATCAGCCCTGCTGAAACTGCCTTCAGCTTTTCTTCTTTGAAGCTCCTTGTGGACTACAGGTGTCAGGTGTCAGAACCAATATATCAGGGTCCCCGTCTGTTTAGAGCCCTGCAGTGGTCTAGCAGTAGAGGCCCTGTGCCTCAACAGGGCCTTCAAGGCCTTCCTGGACTCCCCCACCCCAGCCTCAGTTCTTGAACATACTCACTCAGTTCCTTGGTTGTCCTTCCAGATTGCCGTCATACATCCCCTTCCTAGGAAGCAATTCTCCATCTCCATCCCCTCCTTTACCCCATCCCTGGGGACTCTGCAGCCCTCTCCTGGACCCCCAGGACTCTGTCCTTCTCTGGGTCACACACTTACCCCAATGGTAATTAGATCCCCTTCTAAGTGTCTGTCTCTGGACTACACAGTCGCTTCTGGAGGACGAGGCCAGCTGGTTCATCTTCACAGCCTGGCTCACAGTGAGTGCTCAACACGCATCTGCCTCCTTGTTGTCTGCCTACCAGGACCCGAGTGCTTGTGTAAAGAGGGACTCTTGACTCCTAACTGAGAAGACACTCCTTCTACCCAGCCGCCCTTCTCTCCAGCTCCAGAGGCAGCCCAGGCCCTCTCACATCCTCCCTGAGGCTGCAGGGAGCCCAGGTGTCAGGTGTGGCCGCGGTCCAGCCTGCTGCACTGTGGTGGGCACAGATTGCGGCTGCGGAGGCAGAGGAGGCTCAGAGTGGGTAAGGGACTCCACTGCGGAGGCCCAGTAGCCCAGCCCAGTTAATCATCAATGCCAGGAGAGCGCGGCTTATCTCCTCTCTTCATCTCTGCTTTTTCAGTAGGGAAAGATTGAGTAATCCCCCAACTCTCTCTCGTGTTAACCGTGGAGGGGCCAGGCCAGGGCCTTTAAGGGCCGCTTCTTTCTGGGGAGACCCTCTGTAAACTAACACCATGTGTGAGGGGGCGCGTCCCCTCCCTCACACCCCCTGCTCCACCCCCAGGTCCTGCAGCTGTGGGGCAGCAGGACGGAACACAGGGCACCTTTCCAGGGTCACTTCCAGGGACCTGTCCCAACTGGAAGAGCACCAGGGTCAGCTGGGCCAAGGGAGACCGGACCTAGGGGGCCAACGCGTCCCCACCTCAGGCCGAGGGCCCAGGCAGCTGTGGCCCCCTCCTCACACCCAAGGCGCTGGCCGGGGGCGGGCGAGGGCTAAGCCTTCGCGTGGGCGAAGCCTTGTGGGCGTGGCCCCGCTGGGCGTGGCCCCGACTGGGCGTGGCCCCCGCTGGGCGTGGCCCCGCTGGGCGTGGCCCCCGCTGGGCGTGGCCTCGCTCGGGCGAAACCTGCCGGGCAGCCGGGACTGTCAGCAGGAGCCTGGAGCCCAGGGAGCCGGCAACCCGCCGTCCCTGTCCCATGGCTGGGTCTCCCCGCCGCGCCGCAGGCCGGCGGCTGCTGCTGCCCCTGCTGTGCCTCTTCTTCCAGGGCGCCACCGCCATCCTCTTTGCCGTCTTTGTCCGCTACAACCACGAAACCGACGCTGCCCTCTGGCACTGGGGCAACCACAGCCACGCGGCCAATGAATTTTACTTTCGCTACCCAAGTGAGTGCGGGGTAAGGGCGTGTGGGAAGCGAAGACCTCAGGCTCTCTGGGGTCTTGGGAGCGGGCACCTGGGTGCCCGGATCTGCCTGGGTCTAGGTGGGCAACCCTCTCACTCTGAAGTGAAGGGGCCCCGGATTTAAAACGAAACCCCTTCACTAGTGTCTGCCCTATCCCAGGTACAATGCTAAGGGTGGCCCATACATTATTTCATTTAGTCTATGAGATAGACAAAGATGGGGAAACTGAGGCTCAGAAAGGTTAAGTGGCTGATTCAGGGTCACACAGTCAGAAGTGAGGAAGCTGGGATTCAAACCCAGATCTGAACCCCGACGTTAACCACTCCCTTGTCCCACCTCCCAGTTGGCCTAACTGGACTTGCCTTTCCTGGGGGAGGGGGGGAGATCCACGCTGACCACAGGTGGAGGGGCTGCTAAAGGCAGCAATGGCAGCTGTTAGGTATGAAGCACTCACACCTGTAGGCAGCCAAGACTGGGCGAGGTCAGACATTTCTTCCCCCGTCCTCCAAAATCAGAGAGAAAATGATGCAACTACCTACCAGCTAACCACAGAGCAGCAGCCGCTAGACCTGACAGAAAGCATGGCAGGGTCATTAGCCCATTTCACAGAGGAGGAAGCTGAGTCTCAGAGGGGTTGTGACTTGTTCATGATCACCCATTACGTAAGTGGTAGAGCTGGAACTAGGACTCAGGCACCTTAAACTTCTTGCTCCAGGAGTCACCTGCTGCTGACAAGGTTCAAGAGGGAGACAGTTAACCTTCCTCTCCTTCTGCTGCCTCCCCCCACCATGAGAACAGAACCTCTCCTTCAAGGTTGTGGGCCCTGTCTTGTAACTTAGGCCCTAGGCAGCTGGAACCCAGAACACCTGACCTCCCACAATTCACCACAAATACTTTTGAGCATTAGTTTTCTCCATCTCAGCAATAGAAAAAAGGATGCCTCAGTTTGAAGGCTATACATTCAAACAAGGCCTGGAGTGTTAGTCTCTAGTGGAAAAAAAAAAAAATCCCAGGCTGTTATTAGCCTACTTTCTACATGCAGAGCTGATGGCAGGCTGTCTTCACCTTGCCCTCTCCCAGACCCAAGAAAAGGAAGCTCACAATACCGAGGATATAGAGGGTGAGGTGAAAACTTGGACTTGGGCATGGACCGCCAGTTCCCCTGGCCATCCTAGGCAGAAGGGGCTATGGTTCCTCCCTCCCCATATTTTATCCCCAGCCCTGGCTAGAAAAGATGAGCCATGGAAGCTGGGATCAAACTCAGAGCCACAGGGCTGGGATGGCAGGGGCTCATTCATTTGTCTGGAGGGGTAGGGAGTTGAGAGGGAACAGTCAAGAGGCTGAAAGAAGTAGCTCTTGTCCAGGGGTCTGACCTGGATGCTTGTCATGAACCCTCCACTTGCTTCTCCCATGGGCTTCACTTAGGGCCTCAAAGCCCTGCTTGTTACAAAGTCCTACCTGGAGTCCAACTTCTCGCCCCCGTCTCCTGCAGTGGTGGGCTCTCCTCAGATATGCAGCTTTCACCCTGGATTGCAGTAAGAGGGTTGTAAGTGGCGGGATTCCTACCTCTTTGTCTGCCCTAGGTTTCCATCCCTGTGGACTTTGACCCTGCTGTGGAGAAAGTTAGGGGAGGAGGGGGGTGTGAGGTCCCTAGAGCCTGGGGCTTTGATGAGCCGGGTCCTTACCTGTCCCTTTGTCCAGGGGAAGGGGTCAGGGCCAGAGGGAGGTGTAGCCACTGCCCTTTGATTCGGGAGATGAAAGGGAGTTCTGTGGCTGTTGTTGAGCTCAGGGACTGGCCAATGCTAAGGGCGTGGCTGCTCTGAGGGTCTGTCTGTTTACAGGAAGGGCCCGCAGAGCCTATCTACTCTAACCCTCTCAGGTATGGAGGGAGAACCAGAGAGGTCATGTGACCCACCCAACGTCACGCAGCAAGAGCCAAGCTAGAACCAGGTCTCTTCATTCTCCATCTGCGGCCTTTTCCTTACATTATAAGCCTCTATAGCCCTGAGGCAAGCGATGAAAAATAAAGAAAAGGGGAAAGGAGCCAGGGCTACAAGGGGCATGGATACAAACATGAGAAAGTGTTCTAAGAAAAAATGTGGACAGGTCTTGTAGGGAGGAGATTTAGGATAGATGGACTCAGACTCTTCTTGGAAGAGGGGGCCTTGGGGGATGTGACCCAGATGAGAGTGGCTTGTGACTTCTTCCAGGAGAGTGCAGCCCCACTGTCCTAGGGGTGGGTGTGGTGGGTGGGGGTTGGGGAAGATGGCCTCCCCAGGTCCCCCTCCCTTCTCCTTGCTCCTCATGTTAAAATATATATATATATATATATATTTTTTTTTTTTTTTAGACAGAGTCTCGCTTTGTTGCCTAGGCTAGAGTGACTGCTTGGCAGTCGCGCGCCCTCCATGCTCAGAGTTCTCTTCCCTACAGGCTTCTTTTCAACTTTTCCTTTCTGCTGGAAAGTCCTTCTTTTTTTTTTTTTTTTTTGAGACAAAGTCTCACTGTGTTGCCCAGGCTAGAGTGCCATGGCATCAGCTTAGCTCACAGTAACCTCAAACTCCTGGGCTCAGCAATCTCCTGTCTCAGCCTTCCGAGTAGCTGGACTACAGGCATGGCCACCATGCCCGGCTAATTTTTCTATATATATTTTTAGTTGGTCAATTAATTTCTTTCCACTTTTAGTAGAGACGGGGTCTGCTCTTGCTCAGTCAGGCTGGTCTCTGAACTCCTGAGCTCAAGGATCCACTCACCTCGGCCTCCCAGAGTGCTAGATTACAGGTGTGAGCCACCAGGCCTGTCCGGAAAGTCCTTCTTGATGTCTAACCTCAACACCATCATAATTTAAGAGTCCATACCTCTTTGAGGATTTCATATTTAAAAAATAACTTAGGTGGCCGGGCGTGGTGGCTCCCGCTTGTAATCCTAGCACCTTTGGGAAGGCCGAGGGTGGGCGATTCTTCCAAGGTCAGGAGTTCAAAACCAGCCTGAAGCCGAGAACCTGTCTCCTAACCAAAAATAGATAAATCTGAATAATTGACCAACCTAAAAATATATATATACAAAAAATAGCCGGCATGTGGCGCATGGCCTGAGTCCCCAGCTAGCTCGGGAGGCTGAGGGCCAGTAGGATCGCTGAGCCCTGGCAGATTGAGGTTGCTGTGAGCCAGGCTGCACGCCACGGCCACTCAACTCTAGCTGGGCAACCAAAGTGAGACTCTGTCTCCAAAAAAAAAAAAAATAAAATAACTTAGGACATTAAGTTATTAGGAAATAGAGTGTAAACTGTAACAAGAGACCTCAGAGAAAAGAAATTGAAGAGAAATGGCGGCAGGGCGCTACACCGCTCGCATATCTTCAAGTAACAATGACGCCCCCTGGAGTTGTACAGTATGGTGACTCTGGGAAGGAGGAGATGTTTCGTTTGTAGTCTGTTGTCTTCCGATGGTTTCAAATATTTAGCTTATAGAGGAATCACCTAATTTTTTTTTTTGAGCAGAGTCGGCTTCGGCTTGTTGTTGTCCAGTCGGCGCGTTAGCCGCGTAGAGGTGAGTGCCGTGGCGTCACCCGAGCCTGCACGAGCGAACCTTCAGACCGTGCCTGGGGCCCTGGAGGTGGTGATCCTTCCCCTGCCCTCAGCCTCCGAGTAGCGGGGACTACATTAGCATGCGGCCACCATGCCCCGGCTAATGTTGTTATAGTTCATTATATCAGTTGGGCGCAATTAATATTCTGTCTGAATTATAGCTTTAGGGAGGACGGGGTCTCGCTCTGTGCTGCAGGGCTGGTTTTGTCTCCTGACCTGATGCAATCCGCCCGCCTCAGGCCTCCCAAGAGCTAGGATTACAGGCGTGTAGCCACGAGCGCCCGCCTATACTCTAAATTTTTTAAAGACGCAGTGAGGTTATGAGCAGAGAGAGGGGCCTTTCTGTTTTGGCTTCTATTCGTGATTACGTCTTATTTCCTGCAGCTAAAAAGCCGGTAGCCAATAAACAGAGGCAGTGTATAGTAATGCTGAAAATGAGATAAATATAAATAATTGCTTTAGTTTGTTCTGTAACAGCTCTCCTCCCCATCTCTTGTAAATAGGGTTTGAAACAACCCATTCTGACATTCAGCCAGTCCCTCTGGTCCTATCTCCTTTGTCTTAAGCCTATGTATGTAGCAATGCCATGCTATAATTTTGGTCAGTCTAAGAAACAC